CTCTCGCCCTCTCTTCTCTCGCCCTCTCTCTCTCTCTCTCTCTCTCTCTCTCTCTCTCTTCTCTCCTCTCTCTCTCCTCTCTCTCTCTCCTCTCTCTCTCTCTCTTCTCTCTCTCTCTCTCTTGCCCTCTCTCTCTCTCTCTTGCCCTCTCTCTCTCTCTCTCTTGCCCTCTCTCTCTCTCTCTCTTGGCCCTCTCTCTCTCTCTCTCTCTCTTGCCCTCTCTCTCTCTCTCTCTTGCCCTTCTCTCTCTCTCTCTCTCTCTCTCTCTCTCTCTCTCTCTCTCTCTCTCTCTCTCTCTCTCTCTCTCTCTCTCTCTCTCTCTCTCTCTCTCTCTCTCTCTCTCTCGCCCTCTCTCTCTCTCGCGCCCTCTTCTCTCTCGCCCTCTCTCTCTCTCGCCCTCTCTCTCTCTCGCCCCTCTCTCTCTCTGCCCTCTCTCTCTCTTGCCCTCTCTCTCTCTCTTCTCCTCTCTCTCTCTCTCTCTCTCTCTCTCTCTCTCTCTTCTCTCTCTCTCTCTCTCTCTCTCTCTCTCTCTCTCTCTCTCTCTCTCTCTCTCTCTCTCTCTCTCTCTCTCTCTGTCTCCCTCTCCCTCTCTCCCTCCCCCACTTTTTCTCCTTCTATCTCCCTCTTTCCCACCCTCCCCTTTTCTCTATTTTCTATGCATTGATGGCTGCAGATGATATTAGTCACCGAAAATCTGATTGCTGAGCTAATTTGACCTCATCTTTGTAAAAATGAACCAGCACATAATTGAAATTGTAATTCTATATGTACTGAAGTTTAGTATGTTTATTAATCATACTTCGGGTATTATATATCCTTTTTCCTTTTTAGCCAACTTGTTAATCATTATTTACTTTGTAATTTCTTTCTTTTCAGGGTGTTTCAAGGCAGGGGAGGCATTTAAGGCCCCCAGTCCCAGTGAAAAGATTTGAAAGAAAAGGTTGAATAAATCAAAATAGCATTGTTAGCAAGTGCTATCCTGTAATAAGCTTTGATCTGAAGTTCTATAAGTAATTATTTTTAAGATGTAGGCCAAATAGAGGCTTTGTTCAGAGTGAGTGCCTGCTTATGAAGCAAACATTAGATAACTTTCATTGTGAAATGGAAGGCCTGAACTTGGCTTCCAGTAAAAAGAAAACGCAAGAAAACAAATTGCATAACACACATGATTTATGTTTTTTTTCTGGTTGTTCAGAGGATACTTGGAAAACAAGTAGCAGTCATAGTTCAGACATCTTGCAACTGCCAGAAACTATTGTGAATGGAGATGCTTTTGAATTAGAACTTACAGATGATGAAACTCTACTGAGTTTTCTGTCTGTTGAAGAGAGTTGTGAAAATGAATTTTCCACTGATTGCATTAGTGAATCTGCAGTGGTAGAAATGTCTAGTGTTACTTTAGACAGTATCCTAAGTAATACAGTAAATCAGATATTTGGAACAGAAGATACAGGAAAAGACTCTACTGATACATTTGACCAAAATGACAACACTGGAAATGCTATGGATGCAATATGTAATAATATAGGGAATTGTAATTGCATTGATGATAATTCTACTTCTGCTGAGCCACTGAAAGCCATTCCTTCTCATCTTGGAGAAAATAGTATTGGGGCACAGAGTTCACTACAAACTACTTCTTTTGACAGGATTGCCCAGATTTTACCTGAAGAGAAACCGTTTCATTTAACAAATGCTTATCAGAATATAGAAAGATGTGATCCAATGAAAGCAAAAAATATTATTCCACATAAAAGTGTCTTTTCTGATCTGAGTAACAAAAAAAAAGATACATTATTTAGCTTACAGGAATTTTTACCTGTAGATATAAGCAGTGCGCCATTTCAGCAAAATTCAGTTGGTATTTTCAGTGATCATGAGGTGCAGATTGGTACTTTTCATTGGGGATCTGTTCAAGAAACAGAGGCTCAGAAATCTGCAAGACTACCAGTATCAAATATTCTAGGGGATTGTTTTGATAGCTGGGAGAAAAGAGAATGTAAAGAAATGTTATTTGGCACTAGTCAAATTGGGCAGCACTTTCTGGAACAAAGGGAAATGAATTGTATTTTCATGGATGAACCATCTAGGAGCACCTGTATATTTCCAACCATGCCAAATATGCTTTCCATGAACCCCCATATGCCATCTAATGCTGAAATTCTTCAACCTTCTGAAACCACAGGTAACCATCCTTTACCTATACACACACTTGGCAAAAAAAGTTACAAGTCAGATCCAGAACTTATCTCATCAGTGCCTCCAGAGTTCACTAGGCCTGGTAAAAGTGATGTCTTACAAACTGTAGAAACAAAGAATGTAGCAACAAAAGTAAAAGAGACTTGGAAAAGTCAATCTATATTTGTCACGGGAAGTACCAATAGGAAAACTGTCAGTGATGTGGTGTGGACCATGCAAACCCCAAAACCATCAGTTTCTCCTCTGCTCTTAAACTGTACCTGTGTACAGATTCCAAAGAATAGTGCTACTCATGATTTGGTAAGTGCATGCAATAGGCCAAAATCAGGGAATAATGTTAATGCAACAGCTTTGAATGACAGGCATTTGATTAAGCAAGATGTTGAAGACACAGAAGATATACTGGAGGAGAGAAAAACAGAGAATACATCTCATCTGAAATGTGAAGGTGTAAGTGATAGGGAACAAGGATTTTGTGACACAAAGGATCTACATAGGATTACTCAAGAAACCGGTCTAGAGAGAATAGCATTTTCTTCAGCACAAGTGGGAGCTGCCTCATTTGTGAATCTTACTTCTGATATTGATTCTTTCTTCGGCAGCAACACTCCTTCAAGCCAGTTTCAGTTAGATATTGAAGATCTTCCCTTTCAAGTTCCTCAAGAAGTGGACAACATAGCATCAGAGAATGATGCAACTGAAACTAATGTGAATCTTTCTGAATTTTCATTGGAAGCGAATAAATATAGTGAATATAAGGTTGTTACTCCTGATATTCCTCATAAGTTGTCAGAAGACTCTAGGTATTCAGTTTTTCAAAATCCATCATGTAATATGAATGAATTTGATACTCTTTTAGATTCCTTTATGTGTAATGTTGAGAGTGCACGCAGTAATGCAGACAGTGTGAGCATTTATTCAGTAAACAAAAATATAAATCTAAAAACTATCCTAAATGATTCCATGACACCAGCTAAGAACAATAATCCTGTAGATGAAATATTAGATGGTTTCCTAAGTGAACTGGGTGGAGAGAGAGATGTGTTCATAGCTACCAGTAACAATCTGTCATATAATATGGAGCATTTACTTTGTGAAGATATAGCACCTGAAATGAATAGCCTTTCTGATTCTTCAGCTCAGCTGATTCATCCAAAAAAGAAGACTTTGAAGCCCACAATTTTCCAGGTGCATTCTGCTGGTCAAAAATCACGCAGGAACAGTGCAAAAGGGAAAAAAACTAAAGTTAAGGTGCAGTCCATGGGTAAACCAATTAAATGTGTTGTACGAGGACAGGTTGTTGAAAATATTTCTCAGAAAGGGATAAGAACACTTCGCTTTGTTCTTGACAAGGAGAGAAGATTGGAAAATCAAGATGGCACAGGTTTGTGGCCCCTCAGGGAGGAATTTAATCCTGATCAGTTTAGTTTAACTCAGGGAACTGGTGTTTCATCACTGGCAAACAAGGATATTGTTGGTGACAGATGTGTGCTGGAGGATAATCTGATTCCTCAGACCCCTTTTAGGTCAAATGAAGAATCACTTGAATCCAGTAGCTTTGTCTTGCCAATTGGTGAGACAGGCTTAAGTGTCACTATACCAACAAATACTCCCACAAGTATCACTTCTTTCTTTCCTGCAACCAATCCAGGATGTATTGCCAAACTTGCTCCAATTCTTCCATCTCAATACTATAAAACGGTTGATACAAGAAACCCCATGCTAACTAAACCACAAGTATGCACACTCCTGCCATATATGCCAGAGAAAAGAAACAGTTTAGTGCATTCTCAAAATGAAACACAAATGATTGTTCCAAACTCATTAGCTGCTGTCCCAATAAAAAGTGGTGTATTGCAAGTTTCATTGAGCCCAGTAACTTCAGCTGAACCACATTATGTTGTGGTGCCAACAATAACACATACCAAAAATGCATACAAAACACCTACCATTGCAGATTTAGTTTCTTACCCCCTTTTACCACACAAAATTTTGAACAACAATGAGGCTCAAAACCAAACTAGTAACAAGCAACAGTCATCCAGGTCAAGTCATGTGCATCCAATTGCTCCTAAGATCAGTCAGGCAAGTGTTTCATCATGTAAACCTGCCAAAGTACCTCTTGGTCAGATGAAATCAAAAGTTCTTCATCCTGTGAAAATATTTGTCAGCACCAAATCAAAGCCAGTGTTAACAACTGTACCCAAGAATTCATGCATGGATATCTATCCAAACAAACCATATGTAGATGAACCAAGACTAAATTCTGAGATAGTACAGTCTCTGCAACAGAACATTTTGAAAAGAAAGGCACATCCAGATATAGTACGTAAAAAATTCAGCAGAGTGTTGAAAGATGAATTGAGAATACGATTCCCAGATATCCCAGAACCAGTTCTGAGTAGGTTGAATATACCTCCGCAGGCAATTCATAGGGGCTATTTTAGTGTGCTTGACCTGCAGACTTTACGTGCTCAAGCCTTGGCTCTTCGTCTTAGGATTATTTTTCGGGAACATGTGAGCAAATGTATTGCTAGGAACTGTGTAATGTGTTTAAATTTCTTAAAAGAACGGCAAAAATTGTCATGGGTAGAAAGAGAGCGCCATTTGGGACAGCGTATTTTTAAAAAGGGAAGAAATATGAGATCAAGTGGAAGGGGTAGAGCTCGTGGGAAGAGGGGCAGCCGAGTAAGAGGAAGCAGTTTGGGTGAGAGAGATGATCCCACTTATGAACCACCATATAGCTATATAAGCTCAAAGAGGAGGAGAAATGAGGTTAATTGCAGTGTATTAGATGGCAAGGGAGGAAATCTAAGAAGAATGTGTGTTCAAGACTGCAATAATGTTCAAGCAATTATAAAAAGATTTTGTAGGGGCAAGATTCTATATGATTATTGTAGATTTCGTAAGTGTTACTCAGAAACAAATATACATGAGCTTACAAAATCACTTGATGTTATAGATGTTAAATCACAGACCTGTGATGATATGTACTTGGCATATTATTGTAATAGGTCATATCAGAAATACTTTCAAAATATGCAAGATATAGAAATGCATCCTGTTGTTCAAGAGTCATTCAAAACCAGGTTGCATATTATGTCAAGAAAAGATATGTACATTTATGACCAGAAAGACTGGGAAAAGCAACAAATGAAAATGATGGAGGAAGGTTTTTATGATTTGTCAATCAAACAGCATGTTGAAAAAGGTAAGAAAACGGTCAGATGTCTATACTTGTATATGCTTATTCTTGCTCAATGATTTTGTGAATTTTAGGTTGGGTGTTTGTTTTGATCACCTAAAAAAGAGTACATGGTAATTTTTTGAGGATATCACCATTACTCTGTTAACTGAGCTGTTATATAGAATCATTATAATGAAAATGTGACTGCTATGGCTTTTTCTTTGTCACATAGGCTTCATGATAGAATATTCTTTTAAGGAGTTCTTGATCAGTCATTAATGATATTTAATGATATAATGATGATTAGAAGAAATTAGTAACTGTTGTCTCCGTTCACCTTTTCTTCAGAATTTTGTATTCCATTCAATGATGGAACACCAACCATTCAAAGGGTGCTTCTCAAAAACCACAGTATTATGATCTTCATTCACTCAGCATTGGACCCTCAAAGTCTCTGCCAAGTATGATCGAGGGATTTTGCGAAGCTAAGGGTTATTTTCACAGCCAAGTAAGTAAGAGGAACACAGCTCTTTGTTGGTTCTGGAAATATTAATATATGTATATGATTACAAGTATTACATATAATAGGGTGTATCAAATTCAAGAATCTTCAGCTATCTGACCGTAAGTTGCCACTGAAGTTGAACATAAAGATAAGCTTTGTGGGTATTCAGTACCAGTAGCATGTCTATTCTTCTTTTATTCTATTTCTTTTTAAATCAAAGTATTAGGTGGCTAATAAAATGACTTTCGTAGCTGACAACTGACTTTAGAAATGCACTTAATTTTTCCTGTAGCAGACAATACTATGTTGGCTAACAAAATGACATTTGGACAATATAGATAACATTTGGCATGCCTGTGCAGCATGAGTATTGAATTGCATAAATTGCATATTTTGATACAATGGCAATTTTTCAGATTATCTTTTCATAACTGATGGATTCCTCTCACTTTCTACTATGCAGATATAGAAATTATGCTGCTGAACCCACACCCCCAATATACCCACAGTCTTGGCCCCGATAGCAGGGGAGGACATGAAAAGTACCAGAGAAATTATTAGGTAAATTATCAATAATATACAGAGCATTGGTCAATATATAGTTGAGTGCAGGGTTCTATGTCCCTTGCAACCTCCCCATGGGGAGCTGCTGCCCCCCCTACCCCCACCCTAGACAACAAAGAATCTACCATGTATGTACAACAGGATATATCGTAGGACAGGCTCAGCCATGGACACCTGTGTGTCACTCATAGACTCTACCCTACTGTGAATATGATTGATTCTTTCTTACATTGAGAGATTTATGGGGCAGTAGCCCCCAGGAGGGGGTCGTAGGGGGCACAGCTTGCAGTAATAGACACTGTAGTGACTGATTTTGTGTATATTATTCATATTTTACCCCGCTATTTCTCTGGTATGGACACGCCCTGGCCTTTTACTAATTCCTGCCCCTAAGCCCCCTGGGGATAAAGGGAGGCTCCGGGGAGGTAGGCCTTGCCAGTCCTCCCCCAGAGATAACCCATTGGCACTGTCATATATAATTGAAAATACTGGGGGGAGGGGAAATGCCCCTCCTACCCACCAAGAGAGGGAACCCCACACGTGGATGATAGGTCCTGCAGCCCCGCCCCCTTTTTATATAGGGCAGTATTGGCGGGGTGGCAGAGGTGGCGTCCACCCGGAGTGACTGCCCGAGGGTTAACCTCAGGTGGGAAGTCAGGGTGGGGTCTTGGAACATCGCTCATTGCGTTAGGATGATTGATTGCCTCTATTATCAAGGTAACTGGGGAGGCTAAGAGTTGAGGTGGCTGCTCTCTCGAAGGTGAGAAGACCTGGCTGTGGCACTATCAGTGTAGGTGGCTACACCCATTACTGGTCAGGCCACAGCAATGGTCACCATCTTCAGGGAGTAGCCTCAGCTATCTCCAGGAGGCTCCAGCCCTCAGTGGTAGAGGTTACTCCAGTCGATGAGCATATAATGGTATTGAGACTGAAGGTAGCATTTGGCTTCATGTCTCATTGCTGTGTACTCTTTTACAGATGTTTGTAAACTCGACATGAAGGAGGTTCTACACCAAACTAGCATCTGTGGTAGACAGTTGTCCCC